AGTGTTTTCCATGTGCGTACTGCTCTCTGTTTGTCCCCCACTCTGCCTTCCTTCCGCCCTTGCCGCGAGATAGGACCAGAACGAAGACGGCCCACGAAATCGCAACGAAAAATACTGTTCAACTCGCGCCCTGGTGCTTGGAGGAGAGCATGGGTCCTGGGAGCCGAACTTCGCGCACCGCGGTGCGCGGCTACCTTCTCGGGGGCAACGATAGGGTGGGACTGGCATAGGGGGGGAAACATCGATCTGGAATCAGCGATACATCGCCGATAGATCGGCGATAGGCCCCCGATAATGAATCCGCACCTTCCTGCCCTTTCGTTGCCCCCGAAGTATGATTCGCAAATCAATTCCCCAACCTTCGTCAACGCAGCTGAAAAGTACGGCCCGGAGGCGTGCGACATCGAGGGCGCCCACGAGTCTCTGGGGGACACAGAACGAGACTGCATGAGCGCAGGGCCGTGGGAGGAGACGGAGATCGTCTGTCCGCCGCTCTGGGCAGCAGCAACGGCTCCTGCAACACGTTCAAGACCACTGTTGGGCTACTCCAGATTTCGCAATAAAGGGAGGGGGGTCTCATTTCGGGGGGGGGTCTCTTCCAGGCTATCTAGGAGGGCCTGGGGGGGTCTGGGGACGATGTTTTGGAGGGTTCTCCCACGGGGGGGGGGTCTGAAATGGCTTGTCTTGGAGGGTTGAGACCCCCTCCCTTTTATTACGAAATCTGGAGTACATGTTGTTTCACTCTGGCTGTTCGCACTACTGCCGATGTCACCACGGCACGGCTTCTGACCTGACCTGGGGCCCCCCGCGGGCCCAAAACGACGTCACGGAGCGACCACGAATGAGGAGCTGGTCCTGAGGAGCGCTCCGGGCTCTACGGCCTGCGAAAGCGTGCGCTCACCGTAGCACACCAGAACACCCACGAACGACCTTCCCAAATCCTGCAGAGACCCGCGAAAGCAGCCCGCGAGATCCGAAAAGCCTCAAGCCACATCTGTGCGTGCGCTCTCGGAAGAATCTGCGAACACGCAACCTGCCCTCGACGACAACAACAACAATCAATTTGAGACTGTTCGCTCCTATCTGCTCGTGTGCCACTCAACACGTATATCCCGAACCATCAGTACCCGGCCTCTTCGTCTTCAATCGTACCCCCTTGGGGGTATATCTTCCTTACCTGCCACGTGCATTCAGCGCAGCCCCTAAAACAGGGGAAAAGAGGGCGGATGGAAGGGGGAGGGAGAAGGATGTAGCACGAGAGAAATTAGCAAGCGGGGGGCTAGGAACAGAAATTACGTGGTAGAACCAGGCGGGCAGATCGGGCGGGCAGACCAGACCGGGCGGGTGGGGAAGGCGGGCCCAGGCGGCCAGGTTGAGACGGCGGGTTGCTGAAGCGCTGCATGAATCGTGAGGATGTCTCGAGCGATAGCGCGATTCCCAAGGAAAACGTGAGAATGGCCAAAGCGAGAGCGTGGTTCCTGAATGTCGAGGGCGCGGCGTCTGAACAAATTGTGAGGAAGTCCACGCGAGAGCGCGATTCTTGCAGAACTTGTGACGAAGTCCTGCGCGCGAGAGCGCGACTTTGGAAACACTTGTGAGGAAGTGCCTTGCGAGAGCCTTTGTTGTTGTAGTTCGGAGCCCAACATCCCAGCTTGAGCAGGAAGGTTTTCCCCCTGATAAAGAACTGGGTGCGCGCCCCCAGAGGGGAGCACTTGAATTGAAAGACGCAATGCGCACCAGTGAGGGAGCATCAGTAATAGCTGTTCTTCTAGAATGGGAACTCAACAACAACAACAACAACAACAACAACAACAACAACAACAACAACAACAACAACAACAATAACAACAACAACAATAGCATCAGCGTCATAATCATCAGCAGCATCAACATCATCCTACATCATCCCCATCATCCTCATCAACACCGACATCATGATCAACATCAACAACAATTCGCCGGCCCAACGGGCCAGAGGCGTGCTAAGATCTCCGGTAACTTGTTAACAATATTTCTAGTTCGCGCGCGCGGAGCGGCCCCTGGGGGCCCCCGGACGAAAATACCCCGGCAAGGTCCCGAGAGAAGCCCGGGAGAAGCTACCAGACCACTCCAGGGGAGGGTATTTTTCGACACCCCTCACGAGGATCGTGGCCTCCGAGGGGGGAGCCGCAATCGACTACCCCCAAGAGCCCCCCAAGAGGCCCTGGGGGCCTCCAAAACGCCGCCAAGGAGCCCCAAGAGACTCCCAAGAGGTCCCCAAGAGGCCCCCAAGAGGCCCTAAAGAGGGCTCCAGGGCCGGCGGCATGAGCGAAGCGATTAAATAACAATAGCGATACCGATACCAATAACAATAACATCAACAACAACACCAACAGCAACAGCAACAACAACACCAACAACGCTAACATCAACAACAGCAACAACAACACCAACAACAATAACGACGCTGCTGCTGCCGAACGAGCGCCCTCCAACAGGCCGCGGGTTGAGGTCTTGGCCGTGTACCAACTGCCGCTGATGGCGGGTCGGGGAGCCCGGAGCTTCACTAGGGGCATCCCAGATGGATCCAAATAGATGGGGTGTTGGAAGATCGCGCCCCTTCCCCGATGTATCGACGACGTCGGCGCGGATAACATCGGGATCCACATCGAACCGCATTGCCGACGCATCGCCGATGCGGCGCGATCCTCCGATCTCATCTGCGCCGACCTCATTTCGAAGGCCGAGATCTACGGAGCGAACGGAACGGCGTCGGTATAAACTCCAAGAGGTCCGCGCGGATTCGTCTTGGGCCGGCGCTGCGCCCCACGTCTCGCGCCCCTGGCGGCGCGCCTGGCGCCGCCGCAGGCTCTTGGAGGGAGGGGGCGCTGGCCCAGTAGGCCCTGGGAAGCCTCTGGAGGCCCGGGGAGGGCGAAAATCGTGCAGTAAGCCGTGATCCTGCTTGCTTCCTGATTGCAGCGGCAATCCATGAGAAAATCGGGTCATGAAAGAAACGTTATGCGCGCATACGATGCCAACAGCATCGACGCCGAAATGTTAGCCGGAATCGAACATTGTGGTTCACGGGTTGCTTTGCGGATCTCTCCCTCACTTCGGCACACCATTCACACGTTTCGTGGCCCCACAGGGAGCTCCACCGAAGGCCTCAGCGGCTGCGTTCGCGTGTGGCTAGGGAGCTCCACCAAAGAAAATAATCACAACTGCATATGGTTGGGTCCTTCGGCAAGGTAATTTTCACGGGTTGCGTTGTGGATCGCTCTGTGAGAATGAGATGATGTCCGCGGATCCGAAGAGGGAGAGACAATGCGGGGCGTCCTCTGGGCCACCGCAGGGGCCGCCAGCGGAATCGCCCTCGTGGAAGGAGAACGACGTCTCTGGGGTCTGCTCGCGGGACAGCCAGCCCGGGTGGTGCACGACCTCGTCAGCGCCGCCGCCGTCGTCATCGGACGAGGCTAGGGTGAGGATAAATCCGTTCCAGAGCGTTGCGGAACGCTCGCAGAGCGTTCCGGAACTCTCTGAGAAGGCGGCGGCGCCCGAGGCATCCTCCAGAGCCGCTGGATCTCAGAGATTCTCGATTTATCCTCAGCCGATGTTATCCTCGTCCTGGCTTCGACTTACGTCATCATCCACATTGTCTTACTATTTGTACGTTTTTTCATCCTCCTCCTCCTTCTCCCATCATGCCCCCTCCTCAACAGTCGTCTTCGTCGACTTCGCAGACGTGGGTGGCGCATGGTACCCGGGAGCTGGCCATAAGCTGCCCCAAAGAACTCAGCACGCTTCCCCCTGGCCATGAGAGCATAGTTTAACGGACTCTCATCCCCACAGGCGTGGCCTGGGCCAAACTGGCCGCTGAACCCCCTTAGATGGGGATGTAGAGTGTTTCTTCCGGGGTTCGAGGAGTAGATCCCCAGCTGTGATGCTGAGATCGTCGGGCTCGGGATGGGGATGGGATCGGCTAAACGATACTGACCCGACAGTGGCCGAATAAACGCTAAAAGAGAAGGGAGAGACCTCCAGAGCGCAAGTCGAAAAACCTGGATCTGCAACGCTTGGAAAGTTGCAATGCTTAGGCTGGCTTTCGTGAGAGGGACGGGGAGGGTGACCATTGGCTTGAGGGTGGCAATCCAGAGGCAATTACAAAACCATAACTGCCACATTTGGCGGTAAACCTTTTCGGCCACGGTACCCTATCGCAACTCACATCGGCTAGTGTATATCGGGCGATTGTTTGTTTGTTCGGCGTGAGACTTGAAACGAAACGTCGTATGACATTGTCCTTTCATCTGCCACTTCCACCCTTGCACCGCAATTCTCTAATCCCTAATCCTTGCCATGCGAGCGCGTGCGCCTAGAGTAGATCCCAAAGCATACCAAGTCTAGACAGCTTTTAATTTCCGACTCTTGCTCCCTAAATGCTTGTGCTTGATGCGTGATGCGAAAGAGGATATCGATGGGTGGGGGATGATTTACTCATTCTGCAAGACAGGGCTGAAATGGAATGTGTGCCAGAACTGGTTTTGGTCACGAATATCAGCGTAGAGGATCCAAACGAACGATCCTGACCAACTCTGCGGCAATCGACGTGCACTCGTCCGTCATCGCACCGAAGCCTTATCCTCCAATCGCCCTGAACAGTTACGCAATACCAATACTACTATTCCCTCCACCGAAGACGCCTTTGAGACATCCTGACCCCCTTCGCGCATTGTTCTCTTAAATACAAGATTTCAAATGTGTGTGTGTACTTTCTCATGCATGCATTTGATGCTATCCGATGGCTTCAGGGTTTCAAACATGGTGTTCCCGCTGCAGTCTGGGCCTCCTTTCGGATCGGCGCATTGCTCCCGTCGTTCAGGATGGCGGTCTCACCCCAACGCGGACTACGCTTCTGGCTCCGAATCCATTTTCATCGCTGTCGCCCCCTCAAGACACCTTGCCTCCCTGGTGGAGTCGACAGGCCGAGGCAGCGGCCATCATGTCGGCGGCCGCGCGCCACATCAGCAGGCGCTGCGACTGCGACGGCGCCAAGCCGTCGCCGGCGCCGGGCGCGTACGCCTGCGGGAGGGAGCGCGGGGGCCCGGCGGCCACCGCTTTAGTCTGGCCGGAAAGAAGACGACATGTGATCGGCAGAATCGTGTCGCAATGGCGTCGACGCTGCTTTTTCCTCGTCGCCGCGTGGATGGCTCAACCTTGATAGATCGCGCGTCCGACGGCGCAGATCGCACGAGAACGGCTGCTTCGGGGTCTCTGGCGGCGATCAGCCTTGAACGCCCACGCTGGGGTCGTCGCCGCTGTGTCAACGACGCGCGACTCTACCGTACCTTAGATCACTCCTGCCACCACCAATCAATCCATCCGACACTTCACAAGGCACGACATCTTAGAAAACCGGCTCTGTCCTGCGACGCGCGCGCGTCGCATGGCAAATCAGCTACTCAGCCTCTCTATATCCGGGATGTTGCGCTGTGGATGCCCCCTCCCGCATAAGACCCCCCTGAGCGCTTTCGACTCGGCCATTAGCCAATCGAGATAATTAGGGGATAGAGCCCAGGCAGTTCCACTCACAAACTTGGAGGCGCCCACAGGTGGCCACCAACCAGGCACGAGGCAACACCCCGACACGTCTACCCGATGACTTACGAACGTAAGTATTACCATCCAAGCGCAAGCACTTTTTGGGGAGAGTGTACGATGGTCGCGTCTCTCCTGCCTGACAGGAAACTATCTTCCTTTCCACTGCATAACATTTAAGCACAAAAGGTGGCCGCGCTCTCGTTCAAGTTCGGCGGCAGGTGACCAGTCTCAAGCAACTCAACGTATATTGCAACGGCAGCTCTCATTAAGCCTGCCGAGCCGAGCGAGGGATCCCATTGAACAACAGAGAGGGATCTTTCTCGGGCCCCAGAAACGCGCAAACGTCGCCTCAGGGATACGCCGAGAGCCACTAGAAACACGCAGATAGTGTCGTCACTGCGTGAGTTGCCGCCTGCATCGGCAATGAGATACAAAATCAATTGGTGACCCGGGGTGTCGATAGCCAGCCTGCGCCATACGGCGCGCGCGGGCACGCCCGCGTGGAGAGCGTCTTCCCAAGCACGCAAGCTCTTCCTCGCCAGCTCGGGAACTGGAGCGTCGGGGCCAGTATCAAGATACCTGCGCAGGTCACGAAACCCTAAGGAGCCTGACCTGGCACGACGACGGACCATCAGCATGCTAACTTCTCCCCCGCAATTCGGGCGCCCTATTCGCGCGCCCAACCTGCGCTGCGCTTGCTGGGCAAGGGGCAAGAGAAGCCACGCGCTGACAGGGCAGCCGCGTCCGTGATCGGCCAGATGGCCCAGTCCCAGGGCGCAGATCTGGGATGTCCTGGGGCGCCGCAGCAGCGCATATCTGATCCAAGCGCGCAAGCGACGCGCGAGCCCCCGAAACAGCAGCCCGTCGAACATTCCCGCGTCCTCTCCTTGCCGACCTCGCGCACACGGTCCCCGGCAGTGACAAGCGCCGCTGCCAGCCGAAAGCGCCCCACCTCTGCGCAATATCCTGATTCCCCCGTGCCGTAAGCTTCTAATCCACCATCGCGCAGCAAGACTAGACATGCCATTGAAGTGCAACGCTCTTGACTTCAACCTCTGCACTGGTGCGGAGGCGACGATAAATAGCTACACTCTAAACCCGCGACTGGCTTCATGAGGTGGGAAGCCACCGGAGTCCATAGGAGACCAACTAGGAGACTCATGCGTAGGAGGCCGTGCAGCCACTTGGGGAAGCGCCTGGAACATGAGCAGTGAGGCGGGCGGAAAACCATCCACACAGGGTCAAGCCATGCAAATCTCCATAAGAGGCCAACCAGCTACCGGGGAACTGCGAGGAAAGCAAGACTATGCGGCCGCCGATGGCTGGTCCGATTCGAACCCTTCGGTGGGAGCCCATGGAGAACTCATTCTATCTGTGCTTTCTGTTCATGGCGTTCGCGGCGGTGCTGTGCGACTGTAGGGATGGATTAACATGGAAATAATAATGAGTGGATGCGACGGTTGTAGTGATGAAAACTGATTGTGATTTAGTCGAAGAGCGACGAAGATTGAGGCATCCAAGAACTAGTGTGGGGACGGGTGTCAGCGACGCTGACGAGGATGGTGGTGACGACAGCGTTGTGATGACAGGATGCTGACAGTGCTGCTGACGAGGAGGGGGTGTGTCGGTGTGGCCATGCGCGGGGGGGCTCGAGAGAACAATGAGCACTGCTTGGGTGTGGGGAGTAACTACGTACAGGAAGGCCCGGAGGAGTTGCCCTGAACGGGAGCGCGAAGCTCGCAGAGAGCGAAAAGTGAGGCGGGAATGGCACGGCTGGGAGTGGGCAAAAGGAAAGGCGGGGGAGGCGGGGACGATGGCGGGGAGAACGGGAGCGGCGGAGCGGGCCAGTGAAGGAGAGGGCGAGCAGGAGCGTGCGGGGCAAGACACGGGCAGGGAGCGAGGGAGAGCAGGGAGAGGGCCGCGGACCAGCAGTGCCGGGGGAAGGGCGGCAGCTGCCTGCCGCAGCGCGCGCAGGGCGTGCCCCGGCGCCTGCGCCGCCTCGAGCTGCGACACCATGACCGCCAGGCGCAGCTCCGCCTGCGCCGAGGCAAGGGCGCGCCGCGCGCGCGCGCCTCGGTAGGGCGCCCGCGCCTCGCGGGCCTCTGGGCGGCGGAGGGCCGCGCGCGGTATCCGCGTGCCGCCCGATGGCCGCGCAGGCCCCATCGCGGCACCGTGCGCGGCGCTCGGGCGTCGCGAGGAGCGCAGGCGCGGGGGCAGGGCGAGCTCCGCGGCCGCGGGCGCTGCGAAGTGGGGATCGTCCAAAACCACCGTCGGGGGGATCTTTCTTCGCTGGCCTCGGCGGGCGGCGGATGCGGAGATACATGCGGCCCCCCGGGGGCCCGAACATGTGTCCAGACCCACCGCCCGCCGATGTCCCAGGCGGGGGTCATGGACAGATCCCCGCCTCGGACATGTAACTCAACTGCTGGCGCCACAGCCGAGAGCATCACGCCCGCCGGGGCCGAGGGGAGCCCGGCTCGCGGTCCAAAGAGGTCACAGCTGCGAAGCTCGCGCCGCTCCGGGGCCCGCCCGACCCCCGCCCTTCTCAAACGGCTGGCTCCTGTCGTGCCGACAGGGGCGTTGGCTTCTGACGCGTGGACCTTTTCAATCTTGAGCGATCTCCGCCATCCGACAACTTAGCGTAGCGGGCGAAGAATGGTATAACATAAACTTTTCCGCCGTCGTGCACGCCTGCTCCCCAGGCGGCTGAAAGTTTATACCCCTACGGTGCCATGTAAGGGTGAAACATTTCAGCCGCCCGAGGGGCAGGCGTCCACGACGGCGGACAAAAAATATGTCATGCCGTTCTTCACCCCCTAAAAAACGGAATACGATCAAGGCTGGCCGCTGGTATGGTACACACCGCATTTGGCCCTGATCATTGAGAGCCCGCCGGTGCGGCGCGAGCCTGCCGTACGGTGGAGGCCAGTCCACAAGAAACCTTCCACAAGAAACCCAACCCTGAGATCCCAGGACGTCCATTAATTTTGGCTTGGGGACGTCACGCGTTCCATCGCAAAGCCATCGAAGTCCAAGAAACCCAGGGCAGCCTGGAAGCAAAAAGGGCTTTTCTTGGCATGGGCCTCTACTGTAATCCCACCAGCCCTGAGGGCGCGGGTGGTTTAGAGCGTTTCCTCTTCCACCTCCCTTTTTCCCCTTTCCGAGATGTCTCTATCACGGCGTCTCACCACCCACACCTGACTGGGGGCAAACTCGGAACCATGACAACACCCCCTCACCATCCCTGCAAGATCCATACAGAGCGCACGCTGCACCAACATCTGGATCACGCGCGGGCACCAAACGATCACGTTGCAAGATTTGTTTGACAGGGGCGAGGGCGTGCCGGCATACTACCTGATGCGTGGAGGCCCATCATCCCTATATGAAACACACTTTCTGGTAACGATCATGCGCGAGCGCCCAGCGCTCATTTCGCCTTGTTACTTGACCGGGATGATGGGGGTGCCCTGGCACGCGTGGCGCATCTCGCGGGTGTCCGCACCTGGCTGGCGTCTGCATTGGTTCCCGATGCTGGTCGACGGCGGCCCCTGCCCATGCTGAGACTCGGATGCAAATTCAGTTATGTGGTTGGATGGCGGGTGGGGTAGCTGGACCCCTCCCCTTATTATCCCCTTACTCCATCCCCTGGGTCTTGACGGAGCGCCCCACGTGTCGGTGGAGCGTCCAAGGAGGCCCAAGATAACGCAATATCGCTCAAAGAGTAAGATGGCATCCGAGATGTCTCAAGATAACGCAAGATCGCTCAAGATGGCTTCCAACAAACTCCAAGAAGTCCGAAAACCGCGCCAGGACGAGTCCAAGTGGTCTGCGGGGCTCCCCGACCCGAAAACGCCCCCTAAGACGCCCAAATCTTCCCCAAACCTGGAGGCAATCAGTGATTTTGACCGTCTCGCCCGTTCGCGTCCAATGGCGTTGCAAGGCCTCAAGATGGCTCCAAGTGGGTCCAAAAGAGACCCAGGAGGGGCCCACGAGGGCTCCAAGATGGCCCAAGAGCGCCCCAAAAGAGCCCCCAGAAACGAGTTTAGGGGCTCTCTAGGGGCAACACTAGCTAAAGACCCCCTTCTGGGATCGAGCCCAGATCGGCCTCCGAGGCTCCCAAAAGGGCCTTACGCAGGCCCCACGAGGCCCCAAAGGGGCCCGAAGAGGCCCCCAAGACGCCCTGAGAGGCCACCAAGAGCCAAGGAGGCATGATTATCAAGAGTCTCCGAGAGGCATCCAAGAGGCCCATGAGTTCACTGAGGCTCCCCGAGGTATGCGAATGATGCCACGCTCTCCCGATCAGGGCAGCACACCTAGGCATCCTTTCTGGATCGGCTGATGAGGGCGAGCGCGCCGGCGGCGAGTCGGGTCAAAGCGGGCTACGCAGAGACGAACTAAGCGAAGGCAGCGGAGGCAGGCCACGCCTAACGCGGCTAACCGAGGCCTCGCGCGGCAACCCAGCGGCGAAATGGCGGGTGGCAAGGGCGACTGAGACTGAGTCGAACTGCCAGCGTGCAAGTGTGCATGGCGTCGGCAGCACCAAGTGGTCGGGACAATCGACGACCCGGGTCGGAAGCCGAGGAATTACTGCATGGGCCCGAACCCCGGACAACTGCGTGAGCAACAAGGTGGCCGCAGCCAACGACCGCTGGCAGAGGTGGAACTGATAATTGCAAGGGCGAAGCCCCAGACGTCTGCGTGAGCGAGAGCACCCGGGTGGCCCGAAGGACCGCCGGTCAAAGAATTAACGCCAGGAGGCGAAAGCGCTGGCAGGCTGCAACTTCCAGGGTGGCCGTAGCCGAGAGGTCCCGAGGCAGCAGAACGCACGAATGCGGGAAGCAGCGGGGCCGCGACGCAGCCAAAATGGCGCGGGTCACCACGAACCAGCGCGTGAAGTGGCGTCAAGTTGACCCAGCACGGGCCCGGTACCAGGCCACGAGCACGGAGCTGACACACAAAGTGACGACGGGCGGAGGGCACCACGGGGAGACCCACGCCAAAGCCCACGGAGCCAACCACCCGTGGCGTGAGCGCCCGGGACAGAGCAATGCCGTGATGGCCGCCAGCCCAGTGGGGAAGGCTGATGAGGGTACTTTTTGGTTGGCGGCTCCGAAGCGGCGGACAGGGAGCGGTCAAGTTGATCCGGGGCGCGTTACCAACGAATTGACGAGAAGATTGCCGCCGCAGAGGCGGGCGAAATTCGTTCGTAGAAAATTGGCGCGAGATTGCCGCATACTCCAGCGGACAACACACGCAGTGGCGCATGCACATGCCAGGGACAAAATGCCCCTCATTGAGACGCATTTCAGCGTCAACTGGAGACCGGCCCAGACAGCCCTGCTGGTGGGGAAGCAAAAGGCGCGGCAACCGGCAACGGAACGGGGGGGAGAAGTCGCCCTTGCGGCGCCAAGCTCCAGCCGAACCGCAATTGGAAGCGAGGCCAAGAAGGACAGCAAGGCACTGTAAAGGCCACGGGCAGAACGCGAGTCCGAGTGGCCAAAGGCCAGGCGGGACCCACGTGTGTGCACACAGAGCCAGGCCGTCCTAGACCTCGGAAAAAAGGGGGGTGAGCGCGAGCGAAAGCAACTAACTCAGACTCACTGCAGCTCCACGAGCATACGATGGTGCGGTGAGGGAGACCCGACTCACCAAGGCTCACCATGCTGATGAGGATACGCGAGGCGTTGAGAATCAGAGGTCTCAAATCTCAGGGCCACCCCAGGGCCCGAAGAGCCCTCCAAAATCTCGGTCCGAGAACGGAGTTGTAGGACGGCGCTGTAGGATCCTTAGGCCCGTAAAGGGGTTCCAATGCAATTTCCCTCCTTCATTTGGCTTTTTTGGGGGGGGGGGCCCTTCTGACCTCCAACTCCTCCCGTACTGCTCGTGCTGCTGCTGCTACTGCAATCACTTCCACTACTGGGCCTGGGCCTGGCTCTGGAAGCGGCCACGTTGGAAGATCAACGGGATGGGTGCGACCCCGACGTCTGGGCTCCACCAGGAGAAATGCGGACGCCCTCCACCTCCTCAAACGGCGACGACGCCAGCAGCGACGCTGGCGAAACTTCCACACGGTGCGGGCACCTAGGCATTCTGTGGCAACGTTTGCCAAGTACGGCGCAGACCCACGGTCACTGATTGTGCATCAGCCCGACAACAGAAGAAGTCTGCAACAACTGGGCAGACACGCTCTGCATCAAAGCAATCCGCCTCAAAAGAACTCGGCATCAAAGGCCCGACTCGGGCCCTGGGACCCACAGGCCTACGGACTTTCGCTGCCGCTTACCTCATGGAAGGGACGCCCCTTCAGTCTGCCCTTCCTCAGACTGCCAAGTCATCTCGAGAGCTACCAATACTTATCCATGGGCCCCAGCAAATCCGAGACGCGGCCGCGCGCGACGAGCGCCAAGCCCCCACGCCCCTGCGAGCCTGGCCACAGCGTTCCACAGCTTTCCCGATCTGGCCACCACTCCCACATCAGCCTCCTCTCCTCTCCCCCCCAAGCCTCTCGACGCCGAATGGTCCACCTCTGCCATCTACGCGATAAAGACCTCTTGTGCATGAGGACACAGCGACATTACGCAGTGGCTCACGCAGACCACCATCGTGGCGCACCACGTAGAGCAGATTGCCGTTACGCGCGACCTTACGCGGGCGGCTGACGCGCGAAGGTCGGCGCAGCCGCCCCCGTTTCTGTCTGCACGTTGCTCCTCGACCTCCCAGGCTGCCCCCCCGAGGCCTGCAGGTAATACGGGCTGCTCGGCGCCAGCAGTGGCAGGGACTCCCTGGGCCACGACCCGAGCACCCAGGGCTGCGGGTAGCCCTTCAGCCGCCCCAGCGCCACAGACGCCTGTTGCCGCTCCCAGATGAGGGACACCAACGACTCGAAAGCTCCCTCGTCAGCCGCGAGCTTCCGCGCGGCCGTGGCGTCGGTCGGTCGCTGCTGGTCGAAGGCGTGCGCGAAGCGGGCGAACATTGCCGCGAGTCCTTCGTCCGAGGCTGCGTGGTAGAACCACTCCTCGTCGTCCACCCACTCAGGCTCGCGATCCAAGATGCGGGCAAGCCTCCTCGCCGCGACGCGCCGCCTCTGCTGCGCGAGCCAGGCTCGCGCCACGGGCGCGGCGAGGTGCTCGGCCAGGGAGCGCAAAGCGGCCTGCCCCCGCCGCCGCCCCGCAGAGGCCGTCGCGGCCCGCACGCGCCACAGGCGCAGACAGAGGGCCAAGCTGTCGGCATGCGCAGCCCGCGCGCGGCGCACGCACCTCGCGGCGAGAGCCCACGCCGCAAAGCGGCCCCACAAATGGTGCGGCCGCCACCGCACCCGGTGCCCCACGACGAGGGCCCTGCGGTGCCGGAGCGCCTCCGCGAGCGCCAGCCACTCGCGCGCGCAGCGGCCTCGGTGCCAGGCCGCCGCTCGCTCCTGCACCGCCCTCGCGGCCACCGCGGCGTGGCGGGCGCGCCGGGCCCAGGCGCACCATGCGGCGGTCGCCGCGAGGAGGCGGAGGCCCTCGCGACTCGACGCGAGCGACTGCAGCTGCGCCTTCGCGGACGCCTGTCGGACTGCCGCCGCCGCCCAGACGCGCAGCGCGGCGGCCTGCGCCTCCAGGCAGCGCGCCACAGCCCTCGTGCTGGCCATCCATGCGCAGAGCCTGCGGCCCTGCCGGCCTGAGCGTCGCTTCACCGATCCCTATCGCCACCAGCGCGGACTTGGCCTTGGCCTCACCTGGACGACTCCCCCACCGAGGTGAAGACGTGTGCCTGCTCCTTCGGGTTTCGCGGAGTCTGCCCCCACCTGGAAGGGTGGGCCGGTGGGGCTGAGGCACCATGGCCTGGTGGGGATGGGGACAAGTTAGACGATGCTGACGGCCTCTCTCCACCAAGCGCTCCTGGGGAAACCAAAAGGTACCGATACCGCTACTCCCCGGACCCCTCCCAGGGTGGGTTCTGACCAGGATTTCGAGGCGAACCCAGCGGTGGCGACGAGGGCCCCCCAGGAGGCCCAAAAAGGGGAAAACGGGCGCGAAGGGTAGAGGTATGGGTACCTCTTCCTCCTCTGAGCTCCAGGTCACCGCACCGCGTGCGGAGCGCCGCCGACTCGCGCGCCCATCTCGCGAGGGCAGCGAAACACATCCTCTGCAGACCGGCGGCCCCCCGCACCTTCGGGAGCGGCCAAGAGGAGAGCGTCCAAGAAGGGGGGCACAAATCATGGCCAGCGGCATGTTCGCGGCCCAGGGGAGGGCCAGGGACGTAATGAAATAAGAAGAGGCGCCATGCTGGGGGAATATCGTGGCCCACGCCATGATACGCGCCCACCTCCAGTCATCACCCCATTCTTGGCCGCCCCCGACACCTGCATCAGCACCGCTGCCCGGCGTCCGCGGGCGAGCCGAGCCTCGGTCCTGAGGGTCGCCGGCCGTCGCCGCGCGACACACCGCTGGGAAAGACAAGTGCTCCGCCGATCCAGGGCTGCAAGATCCCAGGACCGAGCAGAAGGACTGCCTGCCAGGTGATCGCAACCCAACCCGCACTGCCAACTTTCGGGTTTGGAGGCGTGCGGGGTCCGTCTGTGTTTTTGTCCATGTTCCGGGATGCCCTCCCACTGGCAATGGAGGGCAACTTGGGCCTTCGGGTTAGGTTGGGGCGGCTTGGTCGGTAGTGGCAGAAGGAAGATGCTCAAGAGCTGGAATCCAGCGCGGATGCTCCAGGGATCAAACCTACCCTCTTCTTGGAAATGTACGACCGCCGTCATGTCAGGCGTCCAGACATCATTACCTTCGATCCTGCAAGGGGAAAATATGAGGAAGGTCATGTATCTAGGATTTCATCGACGAACGCCAAAAGGGAATGCTCACACCATATCGATCCCCGACGAGACTCGGCTTCCGATTTCCTCCGATCCTAGGGTCGACCGGGTCGGCTCGATATGATATCCGAGATGAGATCAGCTGGCCTGCGCTGGGCTGGCAATATCCGGGGATCTTCGTGACCTCACGTCGTCGGTGCTCCCTGAGCGGGGGAGAATGCGGCTCCCAATCGCGCCTCCTCAAATCGCTTCCCGTGAACCCATGAAGCATGGAACATGTTTCTGGAAGTCCAACAATGGCCATTCCGCACGGGAGTACCTCGCAGACGTGGCGCCTGGACCCTGGCAGCAAGGCCTTCGGAGGAGGGGTGGTGCTGAAAGGGTGGAAGGAAAAGGCGCACTTCCATGGCCCATCGGTGCCAGTGGCGTGCCAACATCTCGGGTAAGAGGTTCATAATATGCATAGTTTGCACACGCGCGCGCGCACGCATGGTGGCCTCTGGGGGTCCCCTGACGAAACATTCCCCAGCCCACGCCTGGCCCATGCCAAGCCAATTCTGCCACGGGGTGTCGGCACGCCCGGGTGACCCCAACGAGCTCTCCAGGAGCGCCCCAGGCGGCCCCAAGAAGCTCCAAGAAGGCCCAAGACTCGGGATCGATGGGTGGCAGGCCCCAACATGGCCCGAAGAAGATCCCAAGAGGGCCAAGGTAGCCGCACGATGGTCCAAGACTGCCCCAGGAGAACCCCCAGAAGCAAGACGTCATTGATTTCCAACTGGTGCTTGACAGTGTTTGGTGATTACGCCTTTTCGGGCTTCCGATCGCTATAGACGGTCCAAGAGGCCCCAGCATCGCACCAAGACAGCCCAAGACATTCCCAGGAGAGCCCCAACACGCCCAAGCGGGCCCAAAGACGGCCCAAGAGGCTCCCCACGAGTTCTCAAGAGGCCCCTAAGAAGGACCCAAGAGGGGAATCCGAGCTGAGACTTCGACCCCTTCCCCCAACGGTGGCCTCCGAGACTGCAAGAGCACCCCCAAGAGCCCCCCCCCCAACCCCCCCCCTCACAAGAGGCCCCAAGAGGCCCCACCAGGCCCCGAGAGTGCCCCAGCGATCACGCAAGCAAGTGCAAACGATGCTACAACATGGGCCGTCGGAGTGAACGAACTGAAGAATGATGGGGGCCCTCCGAAATCCTCTTGGCGCCCTCTGGGGCTACTCGGCGTCACTGGATGCACTTTGGGCCAAAAAAACGACACATTGGCCGCATCCGCACGTGCTGGAGCGGTAGGCGCGGCCAGCGATAACCGTCACACTCCGTCTACGCCGCTTGTTGCGAGTGTCACTCTTACGGGCCGCACGCTACGCGCACGATCCGCCAAGTGTCCAGCACAGGAACGGAGCGCGCCCTCCCCGAGAGGGCGTGAGATCGTAGTCCTGTACTGTTGTGGGGCCTTCTTCAGGCCTCTCCGGGGCGTTATCGGGCTCCCTAGGTGGTCCTGCAGGCTCCAGGGAGTATCCTGAGGTCATCTTGGGGCCCCGTCGGGCCTCGCAGGATTATTTGGGGTCTGGAAATCGTCTGGGCGCGTCTTGGGGTCGTGTCTTGGGGACGCTTCGAAGCAATACTGGGCCATCTCGGGGGACATCTTGCATGGACCCTCTCGGGGGCTCGTATGAGCCTCGTGGGTCACGTTTGAAGCCGCTGGAACACGCATTGGAACCATCTGGAGCTGAAACGTGGAAGACGTGTGAAATCGTGGGGCCTCCGCAGAGGCACATGAGAACCCTTGGCGCAGTCTTGGGGCATGTTGGTGGTATCGTGGCGCCCTCTTCGGCTATATTAGCGCATCTGGAGGCTTCCAGAACCGAAGCAAATCCCAGCTTGGCCGAGCCCAAGCGTGCTGATCACTTCCCTCCATCGGCGAGTCTCTCAGACTCACCCCAAATGGCACTACCCAGCATTAGATGACAATCGATTACACTAAGAAACACTTTATGACGGAATGCGGCACTGTATACGGGGCTGCGCTACACTGTATGACACTACATGGTAACATATGGCTTCAAAACTGCACAACCATGACTACCTGATGGCCCTGGCGTGAATTTCGGATCGAACGGAAACCGCGCTTGACGTAATTCTGGCGTGCGCCAGCGGAACCCCTTACACTCCCCCTCATATCGAGTCTCTTCGTCCATGAGATGGCACGAGAAGCGTGCTTTCCACCTTCCCCTGGCGGCAACAATCCCCCGGACACTTCCCCGAGCTAGCCGCTTCGATCAAATAGCGGAACGCACGCAATATTTTCGGCCAGCTGGGGAAAAGGGGGACGGATATCGCAAACAGCGGGAGCGAGAGGAAACGACAAGCTCCGCTTAATGCAACTTAGCACCGAGCGACAACGTATTGCTCAATCCGTTCATAGTTGCTTCGGTTCATAATTTCTGGTTCATAGTTGCTTCGGTTGCGCGTCGTGTTTTTCGGCTTCGGTGCTTACTCCAATGTTTTAGCACGCAGCGCAAAGCGTCGCCAGCATTGACGAATAATCGTTTGCAACACCTTCTCCTGGACGGTTCAACATCGACCCGCCGGGTGCCAACATGATTTCCTGGGGCACATGTTTCAGAATTCGGGGGGAAGCGCTCTTCCCACCGCGCTTAAAGATCACAACGAGCTCGTTCTTCTTATCGGTCTTTCGTGCCCAATTTGCCCATTCTCTCGACCGTGACCAGTCTGCTCATCCTCTCAGACGAACGGCATGGTCCACAACAAACTAGCAAGCGTTTGAAACGAACTGGCAAAAACACGCTCGTCACGAACGAAACGGGCAGCGGCATGCACGCTCCGATCACAACTACATAAATTACGATGCAGCTCCCTTTTCAACTAAATGCTCCCCCAACTGAATTTTGCGAATGGGCACTTGCTTCTTTTACTAGGCGGCGAGCGAGGGGGAAGTAAGAAGGAGGAGGCCTTCGAAGAAGGCGGCGGGGCTTCTCAGAAGCCCTCGCGCGCTTCTGACAAGTTTTCTGTGCCTTCGGGGAAGGCTCAGACAACTTATCGTCGGAGCCTTCTGAGAAGGTCCGCCCCTTTCCACTTCCCCCCCCCCAAGGCTCGCTGCCGATCACTGGGGGTTGCAGAGAGATGCACCGTTCGAATACCTTCGGGGCCACACGGGAGCCCCTTGCCTGCAACCCCCACCCCCTTCCCACTGATGGCCCCCCCATCACGAGACGCCCGACAGTTCTCCCGTCTTAGAGGGCCCGCCCCTCCCCACTTCCCCCGGGCTGGCCGCCGATTTACGCATAAAGGCGCCGGTGGCATTGGCAGGTTCGGACCAAAGTCCTCAGGACTTCATGGCGTCGACCAAGGGGCTTCCGGGGCAGGGGCCCCAAGTGGACCCACGGCGGCCATGTTCATTAGCGTTCCTTCTGATCTGCGATCCGTGGCTATGCGAGGCTGCGCTATGCATTGCTATGCCGTGCTCGAAAGCACTCCTTTGCAATGCAGTTCTACGCCATGCGATGCTGCGCATTGATCTGTCATTAAATGCTTCGCAACGGTTACAACTTACAACTCTACGTTGCCTCCGAGCGACTTCGCCTGCGAAGGGGAAGTGGACGAAGAACTGCTGGCTTTCGACAGATACCAGCGATACTGCCCAGCACCACCGCCACGCGGATAACACCCTGGAGAGCATCAACCTCTACGAAGTCCAGGGAGACTCGTTCATCGACAAGGTCACAGCTCTGTTGTACCATAGTAACGATAGTCCCAGTCAGAGGAGGTCGTCGCGGGAGCGACGGGCCATCTCAAGCCAAGGTTTTTTCGGTCTCGATGGCAAGTAGTGTGCCTCGCGATGAGGCGCAGTCATATGTTGGCGGCCGGCCGCTTGAGCCCAAGCGGCCACGGACAAACGCTCGCTATCTCTCGCCCTTGTCCTAGCTCACTTTAAAGTCGGCGACGTCGGCGTGAAGATCGGGCTCAACATCGAGACACATCGCCGATGCATCGGCGATGCGGCGAGATTCTACGACCCCATCCACTTCGAAGGACGACGGCGACGATATGCGGCCTGGAACGAGGACGGGCATGATTGAAGGGGCCCAGGGACACACGAACAAATAGACACTAATCCCAGGAATCCCCACATTTTCCAACATTCCCTGGAGCTTCGTCTTATCCCCCCACTTCCCATAGTTTCCCATATCTTTTCCGGCGAGTCGACGATTCATTGTGTCTGTGTCTTTTCCCCCTCCTGAATGATGGGTAGGTACGGCTTCGACCTCCGGGGCTCCTCAGCCGGCGCACCGCCTCCCGCAGCGAGCGCAGCCGCGCCGCCTCCCCCCGCCAGGCCCGCAGAAGCGCCGAGCTCCAGAGTTGGCGACCTCGGACCCGTCGGCTCTCCTCCTCCTCCTCCTCCTCCTCCTAGTCCTCCTCCTCAGCAGTCTCCCATTCCTCCCATTCCTCCTCTTCCTCCGCCGTCTGCTCCCAAGCGCGCGCGTTCCCCTTCGTGCGAGAGGAAGAAGAGGACCTCAGCACCTGGAGGCTCGAAGATTGCCCAGCGACGTCTGGCAACATCATGTGTTGAACGGGCATGGGACACCACTCCGCGGGACCTCCCAGGTGTTCACGAAAGTAAGACAAATTGTGCGTTTGCCCATGTCCAAAGACGCGAAGCCCTATAAGGATCCGCGTAAGCCACCGCCCCGCTGGGCCTCAAATGGGTTCACGAAAGTGGCGACGGTTGCGCAGTTACCAAAGCCCATGGGAGCAAAGTCTGGTTTGGATCAGCGTAGGCCACGTTTTTGCTGAACCTCCCACGGGTTCACGATAGCGGCGCCAATTGCTCTGTCGCCAACGCACAAGGGGGCAAAATCTCAATTAGATTTCCGTAGGGGACCACTCCGACAGACCCCCCACAAGCTCAGGCAAGTGGCGAGGTCCCGCTTGGACCGCAAACAGAAACATTCCGTTGGGCCCACACGACCACACGAATGTTAACGTGACAACAATAGCGCATCTCTCAGACACGGCGAAAGCCCATTTAGGAACACGTAAACCTGCACACCGCTGGACCTCCTATATTCTGACGAAAACTGCTTCAATCTTGGAGTTGGCATTCCCAGGGAAAGGGGAAGTCTCATTTGGATGTGAACCCACATATAGGACCGCACTCCGCTGGAGCTCCCAGGAGCTCAGGAGAGTGGCGACAGCTGCGCGATTGGCAGCCACAAGGAGGGCGAGAATATAGGAGGCAGGATGGGAGAAGGAGGGAGAGGAGGTGCATGCAGCCCTGCTAAAGAAAACGAGCACGTACCCAACACAGAAGGCTTGGGAAACACAAGCGACGGCTGCACTCCCACCAGCCCGTTTGGGCGTGATTGGTTTAGGGCGTCACTCCTGCCAACCCCCTATTATGCCTCTTCGGGGAGGGATTCACCCCTCGCCCTGCCCACTCCCTCTGGACCTGGACGGGGGGGGTCGCGACCCACTAGAGCGTCCAAGAGGGCATCGGCGAGAACGCCTAAATCATTGACTTTACGTAGGTGGCGGTCCTATGTTGGTCTCATGGGGTGCCCTAATCGAGTACCCCCCTTCGTTGATCGATCACTTCCAAGATGACCCGAAAATGGCCCACGAAGCTCCCAAGAGTGCCCAAAGATGGCCCCAAAAGGCGCCCAGGAGGCCCCAGAGACGACCAAAATGCCCGCAAGGGGCTGCCAAGAGACCGGCTAACGGCCCAAAAAGGCTTCCCCCTGGGCATCCAATACGCTTCAAGAGGTCCACTGGATCGCCAAGAGGCCCTCAAGACGCCTCAACAAGCGGAGCCGCAACTCACAAGAGATATCCAAAGAGACTCCGAGAAGCATCCAACAGGCCTCTGGCCTTCCTGCTCGCCATCCTCCTCTTTCTCCTCCTCCTCCTCATCCTCCTCCTCCTCTTTCTCCTCTTCCGGCACCTGTGCCACTGGGATCCCTGTCCAGGAAAACAAGCGGGTAGCCTCCCGTTCGTCACGCCAGGTGCTCTTTCGGGACCCTGGGGGAGAGAAGAAAAAGGTAGTCGTAAGCCGTCCCAGCCTGCGCCACGGGGGAAGAGTCGCGCCTGGGGTCACGGGACTGTGCCCGACCCCTCCTTACGGCAGGCGGGGCAATCCAAGGCTTCAATGCGCGGCTTTTCCGTCCGTGTCCCGTGCCTGGGTTGTGGGTCTGCCACGTTTTGCTGCGACACCTTGCGTGGCCCTCCCAATACTCCGCTGGGGCAAGGGTGGTGTCGCGGGTCTCCTATGCGGGGGGTGCTCATCGGAAGATCCCCGTCCATTCTTCCCAAGGCAACGGTCCCCCGCCGTGGCGTGCGCGGGGGCGGGCTGTCCCCGAGGGAATGGTGCCGCTCGGGTGGCTGATCGGGGCGACACGCGCGGCGTGTCGTTATCTGAGGCCTCGAAGTGTCAGAACGGGCTTGTAGAGCGGTTTGCCGGCTTAGCTGCTGCCTCCTGGCGCACGTGGCGCCCCTGGAGCGCGTCAGGTACGCCTCTCGCCTTTTTCGCGCGTCTGCCGCGCTTCGCGGCGCTGCTGCCTTTGTGGCGCGCGTCGCCCTTTGTGCTTTTCGCCGCGGTAAGCCTCCTGTGCGAGCTCGCGCCGACTCCAGCCGTGATGGTCCTCACGGTTGGCCTAGGGCGGCGGGGGCATTGACTCGTCCGCTTCTGGGTTGCTGTTGCTCCACTCCACTCCACTCCTTCTCCTCTTCCTCATCCGCCTAATCCGCCTCCTCCCTCATCCCTTCTCCCTCCCTCCTCCCACTCCCCCTCCCCCTCCTCTGTTTCCTCCTCCATTCTCCCCCTCTCGGGGTACGCAGTGGAATATCAGCTTCCCAGCCTGTATTCCACTGCGTGCTCCCCCACATGCTCGGGTCAGGACAACTCGCCTGGATATCGTTTCTCGATGAGCTGGTGGGGTTACGCGAGGCGTCTAGAATTATATCAGGTTGATGCCTTTGAGGCCAAACTCCTTTCTGGAAAGGTCAACTATGTGAGTGTGGAACGTATGTGATGGACGGGCGGGGGAACTCGACACATTAGGACGTACATTCTCTCCATGAACACACCCAGATGCCAACCTGGAATTCGACCATCAACGAGATTATATGAACAACATGTGATGTGATACAGAGGCTTCCGAGATGATCCTGCAGCCTTACATGCGTGGAGGAATAATGGCCGATCAGTATTGCGAAAGCGACTTCAACCCAAGTGACCTAGACTACGCGCACAACGTGTTGGTTCAGATGGTTTGACGACGCGGGGGAAACTGATCAGATCTTGGCGCCAAGACACACGTACATGGCCGTGCGGTGATTACGTACGACAGGGAGCCATGTCCGAATTGATGGTTTGTTTCTAGTGATCCCCTGGCAAACGCCAGTGCTCAACTAGAGGAGGGCATGGACTCCAAAGCCTGGCACCTCAGCGCCCGCTCACCCAGTCAGGACAGCGAGAACCAGGCCCCGGATTGTTGTTCGTGTCGCACGGATGGCAGAACCAGGAGGCCAACACGTAGCGCGGCTCCTTACCCCAATGACTTACCGAATGCGGGTAAGTGTCATCCAACACCATGGCTTTCCCCTCCGTCCACAGACGGAACTCTGGACCCACAGAGATGCCTGAGCGCAACGGCTCGGGCGCAATAACTGCCAGATGCACTGTAAGGCGGGGCGCATTGCCAAAGTGGGGCTTGAGGTGGCCACCAGGGTGGAGCTTGTAATAATTCGTGTTAACATAAGGGCAGTCTGCAATCTCTGGCCGGCTTCTGAGCAGTTGGCACGTTCTGGGGGCAACATCACAGAAAGCGTCAAACCAATGCCCATAGCGAACAATGCGAATGGCATCCCAACTCCCTGGCGGCGCCAGAGACTCAATAGACCCATCGGCTTTCCTCAACGCTTCGTACAGATCACCTCCAGTATGTTCAATAATTGCCCGCAGCTCATCGTGGAAGATGTGGAAATTATCTTCCAAGAAACCTGCAAGAGGTACATCGGCGTTGTCCCAGATCGGCCGCGACTCAGCATTACCATACCGGAACTGATTGAAGTTCATGTGCAACGGGGTCGTCCATGACTTGCTGATGTCAGCGAAACGTGGAACTGACTTCAAGAAGTCTAGCAGCGCGTGGGCCCTCTCCCTATAGAGCCGACCCTGCTGCTCGTCAGCGTCGGTCTCTCCAAGCCAAGAGTCCAACAGCATGGCCTGCCCCACCCGCAGGTCACATGCGAGCTGCAGCCACGCCTCCGTGGGTACGTGTGGAGAGCAGCCGGCCGCTGCTGCGCTCAGCTCGAAGAGGCGCGCGGCAAGGGCGATGCTCTCGCGAATGATCTCGCCCGACCTGCGGTACCACGCGAACAGGTACAGCACTTGCGCCGCCCCGAGCGCCAGCGACGGCACCTCCAGGGCGGCCTGGCCCAGCGCGTGGGCCTCCGCCAGGTGCTCGGCCTGCAGGGACCACCTGTTCTCCGCGTTGTAAAACTTGCCTGGAGGAGAGACACGCACAGAACATACACTCTCGACGCTCCGCGCGGATTTCTTGGATTTGCGCCAAGCCCCATGGTGCTGCAGCGGATTTTCGCGTGGATTCTCGTCAATGCAAGACCCCGAGACCTCGAGCGAAAAACGGTGTGAATTTCAAGTGCTTTTTTGTAGTCTTCATTCCTGGCCAAGAGAAATCCACACGAAATTCGCATCGAAATCCGGAACATAATCATCCAGGACAATCCAGGCCCATCCAACAATTTTCCAAACGAAATCCGCTGCGCTAAGTTGGCGCTATGACCCTGCCGCGCGGGGCGGCGCAGGAGGCGCCGCCAGGGGGCCCCGGCGCGGATCCGAGAAATCCGCGCGGAGCGCCGAAAGCTTAGGTTGATGTGGTTATTTCTTTCTTTTTATTCTACTTCGATCGCCCTCGAAGTACGAGATGGCCCGCTCCTGGTGGTGGGCTTGTTGTTGTCCACCACCACCACCACCATCAGTAGGATGGGGAAGGTGTCCTCCTCCTCCCCCTCTTCTTCCGCCTCCTCACTGAACTCCTCCAACTCATGGTTGTGGTGGTGGAAAACAGGCCCATCACCTGGTTCCCCAGGTCGTCGTGCTCCGAGAACTCGAACGGCACGCCCGTCGCCGCGCTGGCCGACGGCGCGCCCGCGCCCGCGGCGAGGGCCGCCGGCCACAGGGCCAGGGCCGCTCCGACCACGACGCCGGCGCCCATTGCTCCACGCGCGCAGGCCGTGGACCAAAACGGCTGCGCACGGGAAGCCGCCACGGGGGCCGTGGGGTTGCTTCTGCTCCGAAGCGCGCGCCAAGGGGAGGGGGAGGAGGAGGAGGAAGAAGAGGACCAGGAGGAGGAGGAGGAGGAGGAGGAGGAGAAGGAGGAGGAGGAGGAGGAGGGGGATGATGATGATGATGATGATGATGATGATGATGATGATGATGATGATGATGATGATGATGATGATGATGATGATGATGATGATGATGATGATGATGATGATGATGATGATGATGATGATGATGATGATGATGATGATGATGATGATGATGATGATGATGAACAGGAGGAGGAGGAGGAGGAGGAGGAGGACGACGAGCACCAGCGGTCCAAGCATCGAGAAAAGCACATGGCGGAGGGATCGAAACCAGCTGCATGCAGCGGCTTCCGTATACCAGCCCCCGTTCCCGCCTCCTCCTTCTGGCGTCCGACCCGAAAAGCGGTGGAAAATGCCAGTCTGTGCGTTCATACTTCGCCCCGCCACCTGCCTGCGTCACCGCGCGCCTCCGGACGCGCACTCAGGGGTCGGCGCAGAGCGCGCGAGGCAAGGAATGAAACGCCCTCGGGTGTACAGGCTGATGCAGCTGGAGCAGCGCCAGGCCCGAAACTTTGGGAGTATGGGTGCGGATTGGCCGAGCGCGCTCTGCTGCGCCCTTCCATGGGGCTGGGGGTCATGGGTCCGCGGGCGCGCGCGACCGCCGCGGGCAAACTGCCTGCGGCCCCGCGCGCCGCGTTGCCAAGCCACCAGGAAAAGGAGGAGGAGGAGCAGGAGGAGGAGGGGGAGGGAGAAGAGGAGGAGCACACAGCCCAATGGGAACGACCGACGACGGCGGACGACAGTCAGCTCCCGACGACAGCGAGCTGAGCGGCGGGGGCCCGCCTTCGGACTTGGGCAAGTCGCGCGCGAGCAGAATTCCGCAGTCTCGCCCGCTCTCTCGGCGGGGCCAAACGCGGCCAATGTTGCAATTCGCGATGCGAAGTGTAGCAGACACCACGATACATGGCGAGAGAGACAAAAGCAGCAGACGAGAGAGGAGCAATAGGGAACAACAGCGCGCGAGACGAAGCAGGGGCAAGAGCAAACGAAGGGGGGAGGGGGGGCGAGGGAAGCAAGGAAAAACAACAGAAGAGCAGGGGCAAACAAAGAAATGAATCATGCAGTCGCCTCCCTCCACACCACAAAATCTGCAGGACTCAGCGGGCCCGCGGATATCGACCTGTCGTGCGCCACGCATCACAATTAGTTAGTTTTGAGAGCGCAGGAAAAAGTGCAGGAGGCAATGCGCCCCCCAATACGATTCAGAACTACGAACATCATGTCGAGTTGGTGCGGGGAGGGAGCGGTGCCGAATTTCGAAAGACGCCTGGAGAGGGTTTGGCGGAGCGAGAAGGGGGGGGGGGGCTCACGAAGGGCAGCTTCAATAGAGGCCTGGAATCTGGGAGTTCCGAACGACGGGATAATCGGGATTGCGACGAGCAGGTTGCAAGTCTCGATCATATGATGGATCGACGAGCTCTCCCAAGCATGGTTGTTCCTCCACGTCAAGAGTCTGCCATCATTAAACTCCGCGCGCTCGAACGACTTCTTGGAAGGCTGGCGGCATGGTGGCAGCGCGAAACATCGCCGCCCGCCCTGCAGGAAGAACAGCACGGGAGACCCCCACTCTTCGAGGTGCTCAAGGATCCCTTGGGCGAGGCTGTTATTGGGCGCATTCGTGATCACTTGCTGGGCCCTCTGGACAGTCTGGATCGCCATAGGAGTCGGGGGGTAGAACTGCACGATGCGGGGCAGAACCAAGAAGGACACATGGTTGAAAACCACGATGGGTTTGGAAAGACTCGATCCCAATCTCTTGACCTCAAACGCCCGAGACAAACATTTAGTAGCGGGGGCCTTCCACCTGAGACCCTGCCCGTGGAGCCCGCGCGTAATCCCAAGATAAGTGCCCGCAGGCATAAACACTGGATTATCAGATGTCCCATGCATCCGCGCGAGTGCCCTGCACTCGTCGCGACTGAAGTTATTGAGCGGCACGAGCGCGGATTGCTTGTCACGCGCGTGGAGACCAGCAGCGCCCTGCCAACTGCCGCGCAGGAAGAAGAACTGAGAGAGACCCAGATGTCGCGCGAGGCCGCGCCGACGTCGTCGGCAAACGCGCCTAGTTCACTTCTAGGCGGTGGGGCCCGCGCCAACAGATATCTCAAGATAGGGTCCATTGCCATGCAAAAGATCGCACCAGGCAGCGGGCGCCCCTTTGTTATCCCTCCGGAGGCCGAATAGGAGGCCAAACGGGGACCGCAGAACTTGATGGGCACCTTGACGCCATCGTACAAAACTTACGCACAGCGAGGATGATACGGGGCTGGATCTGCATGGCGGACGGGACCCAGAAGAACAAAAAAAAAATGCAGTGCAGCTGACTAGGGAACGCAGCCTTAACATCATACTATCGCACCAACATGTTTGCGCCCGTGCTGTGCAAACCAAGACGCGGCCCAACTCTCCAGGTTAATTATATTATCGTTCATATGCCGGCCAGCAATAAATCCTCGTTGGCGCCCTAACGCCGTCTGGGCAGCGACCGCGGACAGAGGGCGGTTGATGGCGAGGGAAATGAACTTGTTATCGGAGTTACTCAGGGTCATAGGTCGAGTCGCCTCGGGCTTTCTCAAGACGGAGAGGGCGGTATCATTCGGATCGCTGCCCCTGGCAAGGAAAGCTGCCATGCCATGGTGAAAACCGACGGGGGAGATGCCCTCATCGATGAGGTCGCTGTAAATGCCGTGAACCGCATCGACGACTGCTGGCCCTCCGCGGGCGTAACAACTGTAGGGGGCGCCGTCGGGGCCAGGGGCGTAAATCCGAGGAAGTTGGGGTGGCACTCGATGAATACCGAACTATACATGCTGGCATGTATACGATCGGCACGACTGTAGCTGACGATCACCTGGAGAGCGTTTTTGCTTTACGGGCGACACGATGCGTCAATGGCGGCTGTTCAACCTCACCGAGGTCTCCAAACGTGTGCGAGGAAAAAAATGCTGCCATCGGTGTGGGAGCTGCCCTCACCATCAGCGGGAAAGTTGAAGCCGCCCAACGCAACGCTGGCGGCCGCCGTCGGCGGCAGGAGAGCGCGAGACATGGATCGAACTGGGCGTTCGATAACTGCAGCGAGCCGCGCGCGCCGCCGAAGGTGACCGAGTGAATTCTGCCTGGCGCCAATTCAGTGCATCTGCAATAGTGAAAGAGCTGGCGGAGGCTAGGGCGCAGATCACAAACATGCACCTCCAGCGGACCTATTTTGGAGGAAAGACCCTATACCCCAAGAGGCCCGCCTGCGATGTAGACGAGATGATCGTATAACCGTGCGTGATCTTCCCAGCTGGCCACCTTGGAACTTCTTGAAGACACGCGATGGCTTCTCCCAAACCCATTCCCCGTAAAACGCGGCCAATGGACTGGCCAGCGCGGATGCCCTTCTTCAAAATATTCCATGTGACTACGGTGGAACTCGAGGATGCCTCCAAACCCAAGCCCCCGGGGCACCCCTAGCGTCGTGGGCGCCGGAACGCCCCGTAGGCGGCCGCGGCCATCTCGGCGGAAGCCTTCTGGATCACTGGGAGGCCGGCCTGGTTCCAAATGATGGTGGAGTCCTCCTGCACCTCCGCGACCTGGACGGCGGGCTGGTCGGGTCTCTCGACCCATGCTGCAAAATCTGGGGCCCAGTGGATCCTGGCGGTGTACGCGGCGTCGATTTCGGCCTCAATGAAACTCTGTGCCCTCCCAATCGTCGAATTACGCTTGTGGGCCTCAGGCGTGGGTTGGATGCGCACCCGAAGCTGTTTACCCTTCCACCTGTTCCCCTCCACCTTGAGGTGATCCATCCACGTGTTTGAAATCTCTTTCAAGAACTTTGGGGCGATCGGGATGCGAATCGCAAAATTCTTGGCCCTGGTAACTTCGAACTGCCCAACGTGCCCCTGAAGAGACCCAGGTAATACAGCGATAAGATTGAGTACAACTTCTGCGGATTCCGCCCGGTCGATACCAGCTGCACTTGACTCCCCGAACTCGCAAAAGCCCCGGATTTCGACCCACTGTGGCTTGAAGTCCAGCTTCTGGGACGGGCCGGTCTCGAGCGCCTGGATCCGAGTCACCAATTCGGCGCGTTGCTGTTCGTGCTGATCCAAACGAGCGCTGACAGCTCCGAACCTATTGTTCATCTCGGTGCGGACTCCGTGGATAGCCTGGTCCGTGTGGGAATTGATGTTCGCCTGCAGCTGCGCAGCCCACGGTGGCATCTCGGCGCTGTTGTTCTGGCCGGACACTTGCGCGCCCAGAAAGAAGGGATAATGTAACAGGGAGAATGTAACAGGCATGTCCTCATTGTACGTTTGGAGATGTGATACTAGGCGTGAAATTCTGCTTTGGAAGATCTCCAACGACGAAGTGAGGCCCCCGAAGAGCGACCGAGCGTTCCAAGAAACCAAACCCAAATGCCCCTTCCAGATAAACGGCGCATGCGCCCAGCCCCCAGGAAACTGAACAAAAACGCGACGGCCCAGAAGAAGACGGCAGGCGGGACCCACCCGAAGACGTCAGACTACAAAAGGAAGGGGAAGAGGACCCATAATAACAAGAGGAAGCGGTCGAGGAAGAAGAAGAAGAAGAGCTCACAAAGCCCACAGGGCCCTTTGCGTAATCACGCGGTATCCTCATGCCTGGTTGGTTCGGCTGCGACGCCGATGCGTGCGGGGTAAGCTCCCAATGCGGCTTGGCGGCTGCGATCATGGCAGCGGCCTGGTCCTGCGATATGCCGAAGTACGCGATGCAGCCGGAAGTGGCGACGATGTCGTAGTTGTTGTTGGAGCTGTGCTCGGCGATGATGAAAAATTCGAAACTGACGTCAGACACCGAGCAGAACAGTATGCCACGGAATCCGTTTAGCCCCAGCCTGTGAGTGCGGTCATCTCATCGGTTGGTCTGCTTCAGGTGCGCGCTCACCTGCTGCTACCTGTCCGAGAACTCGATTCTTCCGGCGAGCGCTGGACGGAGCACCCCTGCGG